GGGTCCAGGAGCATTCGAAATATGAGCAGGAACTGAGAGGCATTGCCCTGGGTGGCACTGCCCACATCACAGTGTGTCCTCGAGGTGACAGAGTGACAAACTTCCTGTCACTAACCCAGTCTTTCCTTGAGGCCCAGAAACCGGAATAATGAACCTGGGGTGTGGGACCAGCAGCTGATGTAATGAACCTGGGATGAGATGGCTGAGGCTGGTGACTCTGAACCAAGACACGTCACGAACGCACCCAACATGCTACTGAAGAGAAGAAGAGAAAGTTTTCTGAGTAAAGGCCGGCCGCCCCTATGCCATCAGGTGGGACTAAGGGTAAAGGCCGGCTGCCCTTATTCCATCAGGTGGGACTGACCATAAAGGCCGGCTGCCCTTATTCCATCAGGTGGGACTGACCATAAAGGCCGGCTGCCCTTATTCCATCAGGTGGGACTGACCGTAAAGGCCAGCCACCCCTATGCCATCAGGTGGGACTGACCGTAAAGGCCGGCCGCCCCTATGCCATCAGGTGGGACTAGCTGCTCCATCCTTAACTGGCTTTAACCAAATTCAGGTCATTGCATCTCCTTGTGCAGGTCATTGTTCCCAGTAACTCCTGTCTACACTAACAGCCCGTTGACAGCTGGGCTCAGTAAGGGTGTAAGCAACCCTCCCAGCCATTTCCTGCCACAGGGATCGTCCAGTCAAGTCCAAGCTCAAGGATTTTGTTTTATGGTTATTGGGAAGTCTGCTAGCTCCTCCTCCACGTGAATGAAGCCGGCTCACAACCTTACGTATCCTACCCTGGAAGCCATCTCTCGATCGTTAATGAAGTCGGCATGTGGACTAACGGGCTCACGGAGGAGAGGAGGGGTAGGACTGAAGACCACGGAGAAATAAGGCTAGGTCGCTGACCAAACTGTGCCTGAGCTTACCCCACCACGCTTCACCTGTGTGCGTGTAAGTTGCTCTTACTTATTTTAAAGATAGTCAATATTTGGTTTTCTGTTGAGATTAAAAGCATCCAAACCAATAGACTTATTTGAACCATAGCAAGAAGGGTAATACCTGTTTGTAAAACCATTGGCCAAACCCCACTTCTCACTACTGCCACGCCACCACCCTAATTTAAGGCCTAGTTTGGCTTGGATCACTGTCACCTCCACACAGCCACCGGAGTGATAAATTGAAAAGGAAACCACATCTGCTTACTTTGCTGACGCATTTTCTCTGAAAATAAACCCAACCCCTCTTCCCCATTGCGCCTCCCCCCTGCAGCCCTCAGACAGCATCTCAGGCTCAAGCTTTCCCACTGGCTATCCCCTCTGCCTGGAATGCTTTTCCCATCGTTCCTCACCTACTGCCTTACTTCCATCCTTTAAATCTCAGCGTAAACTTTACCTCCTCCAAGAAGCCTTCCAAACACCTCTCCCGGCTACTTCCCGTCTCTCCTGGGCTGTGTCCTCTGGAGTGCTCCCACAGCTCCTAGCTCTCCCTGTGGGCCCACTCAGTCCCCAGGTCAGCCCTCACGGGGACCTTGTCTCACGTTGTGGCTGTCTCCTATTCGCAGTCAGGCTCGACACTACCTGCCGCATGGTGGGACCTTCGAGGGACCTGGGGCAGGAAACCTCCAGCCAGCTGTTCGCCACCCACCCGGTGGCCTGTGAGAGGCCTGCAGATCTGAGTCGACTTGGAACGCTGGTCGGAGCCATCTGGGAGGTGGGACACGAAAGGAACACCCCGCTGTGCTGCCCCCCCCAAGGGGAGGCAGCTAAGATGTTGGCCTGATGCTTTGGCCAGCACACTCCTGCTTCGCAGCCTGGTGTACTCGGGAACCTGTTACAAATACAGGCTCCGCACCCAGACCAGCTGCAGCTCCCCAGACCCAGGCAATTGGGCAAGCAGTGCACTTTCCTGTTCCAGTGGGCTGCGGCTAACACCCTGCATGGGCGCCGCCAGCACTGACGCCCGTGAGTTCGATCCCAGAGTCAGGAGCCAGGCGTCCCCACTTAGTGTGACCTCACACAGAGCTTCGAACCTCCCTATGCCTCGGTCTCCAGCACATCCCGGCCCTGCTATCTTGTCGGTGGTAACTTGGTGATGGAGTGTGGAGCCCTGCTGAGGCCCCTCCTGGGCTATGGTCTTTGGAGTTGGGGGATTGGTAACAGATGGGAGCAAGCCCTAGGATGAGATGGGGGTGAGCAAAAAAGGATGCCCTTCTGGGGAGAGGTACAGATATTCATATAACACACCGGAGAACGGTCTCAGGTAACTCTGAGCGCATCTCAGCTAAATCGCTTTCCGTAAAGTGGAAGTGTTTATGACACTCCCCAAAGTGGTGGCTCTCAGTCCTGGCAGCATTTTAGACTCTGAAAAGGCCAAGCCCACCGCCCCCCTTGATCGGAGCCGCCCAGATATTCGTAGTCCGTCAAACTCTGCCGTGCTTCCCAAAGGTTTTGTTTCATTTGCTATAGGGCACGTGCGCTCAATGGAGAGAGACGAGAGAGAGGAGACGTGAGGAATACTCCCCCTCTTTCCCCTAGAGTGGCCTCCTGCAACCCCTCCTCCTCCATTCTTCTCTCAGGATTCGGGGTATGCATGTACGTGTACCCCCAGGGCCAGGACTCAAATCACATAGTCAGTCACGTGGGCTCTGACCCCATAACCACCCACCAGCTGACCTACTCCTCGAGTTTTAAGGCACATCCACAACCTCTAGGGGTTTGTTAAAACGCAGAGTCAACGTGGGGAGGCCTGGGCTGGGCTGAGGGTTGAGGTTCTAACAAGCTCCCAGCTGAAGCTGCGGCCTCTGGTCTGCGGAGCACATTCCGGGTGCGCTCAGCCAGCAGGTGACTGAGCTGTGCGGGCGGGGTGGGGTGGGACACACGCTGCTTTGAAGACGCTGTAGGGTTAGGCAGGCAGTAGAGGGCATGCCTGTTGCCTGTGGTTCTCACCCGATTGCCATAGTTCCCCTACACACCCTTTTCTTGTATGACTAAAAACTCGGGGCGCTGTGAGGAGTAGGTGGTGAGTTTCTCACGAAGGAATCGTGTTTATGGAGTATCCATCGCATGACATGTGCCTTAAAATACTAGGGGACTTCAAAAAGCACATGGAAAAATGGACTGAAAGTATGGGTTTATTTTAGTGCAAAAAGATTATTTTAATTCGTGAAGCTTTTTCATAATGCACATTTTTCATGAACTTTTTAGATCTCTTGCACTGACGAGTCCATTTTTGTGAAAATGGGACAAACTCGGGTAAGCAGTTTGCTCACACTAGGTTAAGGCGAAGTTCCTCGGTGATGTCTTTTTTTTTTTTTTTTTTTGAGAGGTTTTCGCTATAGGGCGTGTGCGCTCGCCAGACAGACAGAGAGAGAGAGAGAGACAGAAAGCGAGAAATCACCCCCCAGAGGGGATGGTCACGCCGCAATCCCTTCTCCTCCATTCTCCTCTCAGGATCTTGGACATGCACGCACACGCGCCCAGTGTGAGTTTTAAGCCACCGGGTCCGGGACGCGAACCACGGTCAACTACGTGGGAGTCCAGCGACATAGCCATTACGCTAACTGCTGGTTCCCGGTGACGTCGTTTTAACATCAGTGAAAGCTCTTCGGGAAGGACTGCTGCAACCGGGTTGGTGTGCGGGAGGCCAGTCTCTATTCCAAATATTTTAAAGTTTATTTTGTTTATTTTCTGAGAAAGAGAGAGAGCCCCCTCAATAGGATCCTCACACCATCCTCATCCCTCCTCTCAGCCAGGCTGGCTCTGGGATGTGGATGCAGGCCCTTCCCCAGCGGGCCCAGGTGTGTAAATGCCCCCCAGGTGGAAATTTACAGGCAAGGAGCAGGCTGGGGGCTCAGGGGTTGGAGGCTACCAGGAGGAGCCACCAGGGTAAGGATGAGTCTGGGAGCCGACCTAAGAGGCGCTCCCGAGACCGACTGGCAGGTTTACGCAGGGCTCAGCTTTCAGCGCCTGTTTCAGAAGCAGGAAAAGGGCACTGCAGGGGCTCTCAGGCCCCGCTGGCAACCGGACGCAAAGCTGCTTCTGCCCAGGAGAGATGCGGAATCATGTCCCCATCGGAAGTGGAAACAGCAGGGCATCCGGCTCCCAGGCAAGAGCGGGCGCAGGGAAGCTCAGAGCAGATTCTGCCGGCGACAGTGTGCACCCCAGCGGCCTTGCTGGGGAAGGCCTGCCCGCGGGCTGACACCCAGCACGGATTTATTGTGACAGGGCACTGCCACCTGGTGGCACCTCGCCCTTCGCCAGGAACTGTTGGGGAGCACAGATCCGGGCTCTCCCTGGGCGTCTTTGCAGGTACAGATCTTTACTAAGACAGGGAACAGGAGGAGGGAGGCCGCAAGGTGGGCAGGAAGTGAACCAAGAATGTGGTGGGAAACAGCAGAGACCTAGCAACTGCCTGGCCAGGAGAAAGACAAACACGTGAGGCAGCTCCCTCACCACCACGTCAATCTGCTGTGAAAAACTTGCAAACCCCCCTTTACCTTTAAGAGAACACAAGTACAGTGCAGGTGACCTCTAACTGCATGTGTCTGCTAGCCAGTCGGGTGCATGGCCTCCCTGCCCAGGACATCGTCCTCCAGCAGGTCTCTGGCAGGGAAATGCTTACCCTTGGGGAAAACTTACTTTACTTTGGCAGGTCTCTGGCAGGGCCAGTGCTTACCCTTGGGGAAAACTTACTTTACTTGTGATTTAGTTCAAGCCCATTTGTTAATAAACAGAGCGTCTATCTCAGCAAGAAAATGCGACAGAGTGGGAGGTGGGCCTGGGTGCCATCATTCTCCTGGTCACTCAGCCTGCGCGAGCCCAGCCCTGGTCCAGGGACCACCCTACCCTGACCCCACTCTGGAGCCTAAGTCAAAGGTCAAAAACCAGTGCTGTAAAAAAACCTCCCTCCCCACCCTGCCCAGGCGTGTGTGCTGCCTGAGAGACAGCGAGAGGGAAAGTGAGAAATCACGCAGCCAAGTGGGAGTCCAGTGCCCTAACCACCAGCCCCCTGCTGCCCCCCAACACTTTTAAACGAGGAGTGGGCCATCCTCCTAGCCAGCGCTGGTGTGACTGGCAGGTGAGCACTGCACTGCCAGGGAATCTTCCGGTCGGTTCCAAAGGCTCAAGGCACCGTTCGGTCTCACCTCACAGCTCGGAAACCGAACCCGCAGGCAGAACAGCTCGGTTTCATGAGTACGTTCAGCACCGACTGCCGGGTGGGCTCCCATAGCAAGCTGGCGCCGACCCTTTTCATAGAGGAAGACCGTGGAGGGCGTGGCCAAGGCTTAGCTTGGCCGCTGGGAGTCGCTTTTCAATGAGCATCTCCGTGTGAGCGCACGCTGTCTTGTTCAAGCCGCAGCCTCCTGGCAAAGTCCGCCCGAGTACCCTTACCCTGGGGGTGAGGAAGCTGGTCTGCAGAGTGGTTCCAGGGCTCTCCGTCCCACGCAGAGGGATAGGACGGACACCCAGGCCCCTGGCTGGGCCCAGCTCCGCGTGCGCAGCCTGGCGTCTCCGAATCCGTGTCCAGTCTAGGCCTCGCGCCACAGGACCCTGGGGATTGGTGGGGGAGTGTCTGGGGCTTGGCTTCCACGCTGCGGACCTGGACCAGGGCCAGGGCGGCCTCCTGGCGTGGGGCCCTGCGGAGCAGGCTCACCGGGCGCGGTCCCGCTCTCTCTTCGGGGAGAGGCACCCCCAGATGCCCCGGCAGATCGTCTCGCTGCCCAGCGCGTAGTTGACGGCATTGACTTAGGGCACCATTTTGGCAACAAGGGCGGGCACCTGCCGGGTCAGAAAAGTCCAGGACAGACGCTTCAAAGCCTCTGCGGCGCCTGGACCTCCCCCCGCCCGCGGCTGCCACTCCTGACTGGGGCTCGATTCTGCAGCTCCAAGCCTTCCCCTGGACCGGGGTTCCGGAGCCCGGGAAACCCACGGAGCGCGCAGACGGCTCGACTCCCTGCCCTGGCGGCATGCTCTCCACCTGCCACCCCCGGGGGCTCGGCCCGCCTGCAGGCCTGGCTGGCCCGGGCGCGGGGGCCGGCCGGGAGGGAG